AGGCACCTGCCACAATGCCCGGCTATTTTTTGGTTGCAGCCATCATTGTTGTTTGGTGGGTCCGGGCTGGATTCGAAGCCGCCAGCTCAGGTGTATGTGGCTGGCACCTTAGCCGGTTGAGCCACAGGTGCTGAGCCTCACACTTAATAACCTTAACAGATTTTGACCATGGTCTGAGATAAGAAGTGAGGGGCTCAACACCCTACCTGTACTCCATCTCTCACCAAGACACACACCACAAATGAGCCTTCCCTCTTATCAGTCTTTCTATAAATTCTGATCTTTACTAATAAAATCTAGTATTTACTGTTTACTTTTTAAATGCTAGTACTTCAAGTGCAAAGAAATACTTTATATAACTGACAATGGGGCAGCCGAAATCTAATCCCAGAGCCCTTTCTCTGAATTTCTCTGCCTTACTGACATTCCTTTGAGTTGCTAAATAAATATCACTTAGGTCTCCTAACCCTGAGCTCTGGGGATGGAAACTTTCTACACTGCCAAAGAGTAAGATGAACACAGTGAGCCTTATTCACCTCAGTCGCTGTGTTTGAATGCACAAGTCCCACTCCTTCGTCCAAAGTGTCATCATTTGGAGATGGGCGCCGAGCGTAAGTTCTTCTGTGCTTTTCATCCACTCTAACTAGGTACCATGTTCCTTCAAAGAGTGAATCTATAGAACCCTGGGGAATATAGTTGACTAAAGGAAAAGCAGAGAATATCCGAAATTAGTTATTACATACAACTTATCTGGCAATAAAACTAAAGTTTCATATATTCCCCACATGTTCACTGGCATCAGATTAGTACTGAATAAAGTAACATTTTTAATGTTACTACAGCCCTCTGATAAACTTTTGGCTTTACGTAAACACAATTTAATATTTTTACCCAAATGATGGGTGTCTTCTCTGAGCTTCATGGTTTCAGCAAAGATGTCTGGTGCCACACAAGTTCTTGAGTCCAGCCTTGATTTAAGATCACACAAACTTGCTGTTATCTTATCAAGAGCAGAACCTAAAATAGTAAATAATTCCAACATTAAAAAACTGAACAAAATTGCACATCCAAAAGAAGCCTAAATAAAAATGTTGCCAAATGAAAACAAAACAAAACAAAACAACCTTTCATTTCTTTTAGATCTACCAGCTATTCTTTAGTTAAAAAATAGTATCTAAAACTGGTATCTATTTAACAAACTTCCTATGATTTCTGACTAGACATTTTTTTTTGTTACTAGCCAGTAGACAAGTTAGGAGATAGAATTTGAAACTATAGGCTAAGGCACTGGCCACATACACCAGAGCTGGCGGGTTTGAACCTAGCCTGGGCCTGGCAAACAACAATGACAATTATAACAAAAAAAACAGCTGGGCATTGTAGCAGGTGCATATAGTCCCAGCTACTTGGGAGGCTGGGGTAACAGAATCGCTTAAGCCCGAGTTTGACGTTGCTGTGAGCTATGATGCCACAGCACTCTACCGAGGGTGACATAATGAGACTCTGTCTCAAAAAAAAAGCAAAGTTTTCATCAGTTTTTCTCTACGTTTTTGTTCCCTCTTGCTCAGAAAAGGCACAAAAGTTTCTTTAAATATAGGCAAGACTATAAATGTATAAAAATTTGATAACTTGGCTGGGTGCAGTGGCTCACTCCTAGCACTGTAATCCAAGCACTCTAGGAGGCTGAAGCAGGTAGATTGCATGAGTTCAGGAGTTTAAGACCAGTCTGAACAAGAGCAAAACCCCTTCTCTACTAAAAGTAGAAAAACTAGCTGGGTGCTGTGGCAGGTGCTTGTAGTTCTAGCTAATGGGGAGGCTGAGGCAAGAGGATTGCTAGAACCCAGGAATTTGAGGTTACTGGGAACTATGATACCACAGTACTCTACCCGGGGGTATAGAGTGAGATACTCATCTCAAAAAAAAGAAACAAATTAATAACTGAATCCTACTCTTTATCCTATTAGGGCAGACTTTTACTGTATAGCAGGAGTGTCCAATTTTTGTTTTCTCTGCTGCAAACTGGAAGAGTCAAGAGTTGTCTTAGTCCACACATTAAATATAGAAACACTAACAGAAGTTGATTGGCTAAAAAAAAAAAAAAGGTCCATTCATACTTTTCATGGTATCTGATACCACAGAAAAGCCAAAAAAGAAAAGACCTCAGAACATCAGCACATGGCCAGTGGCAGGTGGACCCCCTGCTATTTTAGAAGTAATGATAATTAAAATGTAATGATTTATGGGATTGAAATATTCACTTGAGAAGCTCATTAAAGTAACATCATCACAGTAGGTTCTCCATACCTTCTTGTTGAAAGACTTAGCACTTACCTGGTGTGGCATCTTGTGTAACTATAAGAGAGTACAGGGTGGCAGCCAAGCCAGAACCATAAGAGAACACTCCAATCCTCTTCCCGGCCAGTTGCTGAGGGGAGTACCTGTGTAGGGTGTAAAAATAATTAGGAAGCTGAACTGATCTAAAGCTACACTATATAGGAAGCCATACAAGTAAGAATAAAAATTTAAACTATAGGTTAAAATAGAGATCCAATTTAAAGTTGTAATATTATAGTAAGCTCACTGAAAATAAGAGTTTTTATCTTTTGGGGAATGATGGGGATTATGAAAGTTATTATACCACAATATAAGTTCCTTCATCAACCAGGGATTTTTTTTCCCTTTTTCTTTTTTTTAATTTGAGATTAATATAAAGGCACAAATGTTTAAGTTACATTGTTTTGATTTCTATGGTAAAATTCAAGTTGTTTTGAGCCCCAGGGAGTATGCTGAATATCCTGACATTATGCACATTAGGTAAGAAATTGCCAATCACCCTCCCTCCTCCCCTTTCCCCTTTCTTTTCTCTCCTCTCCCCCTCACAGAATATACTTGTTCATCACCCAGGGATTTATGGTTGAACTGTAGATTAAGAATAATAAAACCAAGGTTGGGCATGGTGGCTCATGCCTGTGATCCCAGCACTCTGGGAGGCTAAGGCAGGTGGATCACTTTAGCTCACGAGTTCGAAACCAGCCTAAGCAAGAGTGAAAACCCCCACCCTATCCCGTCTCTTAAAAAAAAAAAAAAAAAGGACTGGGCATTGTGCCGGGCAACTATAGTCCCAGCTACTTGGGAGGCTGAGGCAAAAGCTTAAGCTCAAGAGTTTGAGGTTGCTGTGACCTGTGACACCCCAGTGCTCTACTGGGGCAAGAAAGTGAGACTCTGTCTCCAAAAAAATGATAATAAAACCATGAAAATAGGAGCCGGGAAAGCCAATATGAAATTAACAAATACTTCTGGAAGAACTGTAGCCTCGACCCATATATCCGTCAAGTCAATGAATAATAGAGTAAAAAGCCTGAAGACAAGCATTGTGACCTACCAACCATATGCCTGACATGAGATTTGGTCTTAGAAATCTAACTTACTCAAAGGAGGGAAGTTAAGTAGATAAAATTCATACTTACTGTGCTAGAACAGAAGCAAGGGAACCATATACTGAAGATGTATACATATTTCCATTTTGATTTGACACAAGCAAAGATGCCTTTGTTTTCTGATTAAAGAGTTCAGAACTTGCCTTCATAAATGCCTTTTCCACATCTCTGTCAAAGTAGGTATCTTCTAATTTAACATCTCTGAAAAATTTACCAAAAAAAGATAATTTGATGGTGTTCAAAGCCTATGTTTTTATTACATTAAGGTAATGATCTAATTAATATTCAAATATATAAATATGTATGATTCTGTTTTCCCATTTATTAAAAGCCTAGTAACAGGCTCAGCGCCTGTAGCTCAGTGTCAGCCACATACACCAGAGCTGATGGGTTTGAATTCAGCCCATGCCTGCCAAACAACAATGACAACTGCAACCAAAAAAAAGGGCGTTGTGGTGGGTGCCTGTAGTCCCAGCTATTTGGGAGGCTGGGGCAAGAGAATCACTTAAGCTCAAGAGTTTGAGGTTGCTGTGAACTGTGAGCCATGGCACTCTACCCAAGGTGACATAGTAAGATTCCGTCACAAAAAAAAAAAAAAAGCCAAGTAACAGTATGCTAACTGCAACAGAAGACATAACAGTCTTCAAATGACCGTAACAGTGGCCATTTTTCTCAAGGGTTTTTATAATCAAGTTATGAATACTTGATTCAGTGGGTTAATGGACCCACTAAGGCAAACAGAATACTATTTCAAGTCCGTACTAATGTCTACTTAGTCTTAAAAAAATCATGATATTGCGGCGGAGCCTGTGGCTCAAAAGAGTAGGGCACCAACTGCATATATGGAAGGTGGCGGGTTCAAACCCAGCCCAGGCCAAAGACTGCAAAAAAAAAAAAAAAAAA